ACGATGGTGGGAGAAAGCCACAGATTCGAAGAAAACGTTATTTTCTTTATTTTGGAACTCTGATTTAAACACATTTTCCTTCCAGGATGATGTCCACTTGGTATGTGCTGATGGCCACTGGCCCTGGCCAGTGTCTGTGCGTCTCAGACATTAAATATGTACGACATTACCCTGCCCTTGTGCTACTGAGACATTCATCCACAGTTAGCTTGAACTCTGCCCAAAATGGCTCTGCAGCTGGATATGGACAGACACGGGGAACACAGACTAGGATCGGCTGCCAGAGCTGCTCTGAGCAGAACCTCTGGCCAGTGTGGGTGCCTGTACCCCCACCAGCTGCTTTCTGGCTACACATTCTCATCTTTCTTTTTTTTTTGGGGGGGGGGGGAGAGTTATTTTTGTTTATTTTAAATGCTGACAAGAAGAACCTTGAAGTAGACTTCTTTTTTAAAAATTGTTTTTCTTTCTTTTTTTCTTTTTGCTTTTTCGAGACAGGGTTTCTCTGTGGTTTTGGACCCTGTCCGTCCTGGAACTAGCTCTTGTAGACCAGGCTGGCCTCGAACTCACAGAGATCCACCTGCCTCTGCCTCCGAGTGCTGGGATTAAAGGCGTGCGCCACCACCGCCTGGCTTTGTAATTTATTTTTATGCATATGAAGATTTTGCCTGCCTGCACACAAGTGCACTTCGTACATTCTTAGTGCTGGTGGAGGCCCAAAGAGGGTGTCAGATACCTGGAGATAAAGTTACAGTTGGTTGTGAGCCACTGTGTGGGTGCTGAGGACTGAGCCTGGGTGCTGGAAGAGCACCAAGTGCTTTTAACTGAGTCATCTCTAACCTCTCTCTCTCTCTCTCTCTCTCTCTCTTTTTTTTTTTTTTTTTTTTTTTTTTTTTTTTTTTTTTTGTTTGTTTGTTTGGTTTTTTGAGACAGGGTTTCTCCGTGGTTTTGGAGCCTGTCCTGGAACTAGCTCTTGTAGACCAGGCTGGTCTCGAACTCACAGAGATCCGCCTGCCTCTGCCTCCCGAGTGCTGGGGAGGGGGGCGGTGTCTGAGGAGGCAGAAAAGGCATCTGATTGCCTGGAGCTGGAGTTACAGCTGGGAGCCACTGACCTGGGGCTGGGAGCCAAACTTGGGTCCTCCACAAGAGCAGTCAGCACTCTTACAGTTGTTCCAGGGTCCTACCCGGGACCAGGACTCTCGTCCCACATGGGCCTCAGTCCACTTTCTACTTTCACTTGGCCTCTGAGGTGATAGCCCGCTAAGCTGGTGCCTCCTTGTGGAGGTGACAGGGCAGGACATCAGATTGGAGTACTTCCTCATGAGGAATTGTCCATCTGCAGAAGAAAAGCATCACTTCTGAGAAGGGATCGTCTTGACGGAAGCATGCATTCAAAGGCCACCCTTTCAAGCATAAGGAGGGAGTGTTCTCCAGGCATGGGCACTCAGTGCCTGATGCATAGTGGGCACCCATTAAACATTTACAAGCTGGTAAAGAAAACCAGCCGTGAGACAAGCGGTGAGAAGAAGCATGTTAGAATCTGGGTGTTGAGAGGAACAGACTGTTGCATTTGTTCTGGAAAGTAGCCAGACGGGCCTTGAAGCCTCTTCTAACATTGAACACTCATCACTGACCTCAGAGAACTTCGCCCCATGCCCCGGGGTGCATCCTAGAGTGTCACGTCATGTGTGGCCTTTGCAGGGAGGCTGTGCGCCAAGTCACACTTCTTTCTCATTCAGTCTCAATCACAGGAGAATGCACCAAAAACCACCAAGTGGCTCACATGTCGCATCTCTGCTTGTGGCTTTTGATTGCTAACATTTATTTTTGTATGTGCGTGCATGTGTGCTACAACGTTCCTGCGGAGGTCAGAGGACAGCTCTCAGGAGTCAGTTCTGTTCTGGGTGGCAGGGTTCGAGCTCTGTTTGTTAGACTTGTCAGCTGAGGCCTTGACCAACGGGGTCATCTTGCTGGTCTTTCTTTCCTTAGAACTAAGGAGAGGACAGCACATTAGCAGGATTGCTACTGCTGTGCCTTTACAACTCAACACTAATTCTTTGTAATACATTTAAAAGTTGTGTGGGATTTTTTTTGTTTGATTGCGTTAACAGGATGTCACTATGTGGCTTTTGCTAGCCTGGTAGTCCCCATGTAAATCAGACTGACTCCAAACTCACAGAGACCCTCCTGCCTCTGCCTCCTGAGTTCTTGGATTAAATACCAATATCATCATCCTAATATCATCATGTATACTGTAATGCATTTTTTAAAAAGATTTATTTATTTATTATGTACACAGTGTTCAGCCTCCATGTATGCCTGCAAGCCAGAAGAGGGCACCAGATCTCAGTACAGAAGGTTGTGAGCCACCATGTGGTTACTAGGAATTGAACTCAGGACTTCCGGAAGAGCAGGCAATGCTCTTAACCTCTGAGCCATCTCTCCAGCCCCTGTAATGCATTTTTATTTTATATTATTTTCTTTTCTCAGCGTGCAACTGAAGGTGTTTGCAGATATGATGCAAATGGTCTCCCCTGCTATCCTTTAAAAAGTTATGGGGGCAGTGCAGATGGGGGGGGGCGCATCGCCTCGTCAGCAGCTGCAGCCTCCTTCTTCTGCCACTCCTGGAGCTGCCTGTGTCTCCTTCAGTGTGGACCTGGTGCCTCTTTTGTGAAGCAGCAGCTGAGGAGACTCCGGTGCTCGCCATGGCCGACGGGAAACCCAAGGAAGGAGTCAAGACCGAGAACAACGACCATATTAATTTGAAGGTGGCGGGGCAGGATGGCCCTGTGGTGCAGTTTAAGATGAAGAGGCACACACCACTTAGTAAACTAACGAAAGCCTATTGTGAACGAAAGGGTTTGTCACAGAGGCAGATCAGATTCCAGTTTGATGGACAGCCAATCAATGAAAGTCACACCTGCACAGTTGGAAATGGGTGTGTGTGTGTGTGAAGATACGATTGATGTGTTCCAGCAGCAGACAGGAGGTGTCTACTAAAAAGGGAGCCTGCTACTTTACTCCAGAATTTTGTTATAGACCAAGAATACATTTGCAATTAGAAAACCGCAATTTGGTTCCACCACATCCTGACTACTACAGAATAGTTTTCTCTATTCTTTCATTTCCCTGTGCCCATTTCTTTTTTCTTTTTTCTTTTTTTAATTTTTGAGACAGGGTTTCTCCGTAGCTTTTTGGTTCCTGTCCTGAAACTAGCTCTTGTAGACCAGGCTGGTCTCGAACTCACAGAGATCCGCCTGCCTCTGCCTCCCAAGTGCTGGGATTAAAGGCGTGTGCCACCACTGCCCGGCCTTTTTTCTTTTTTAAACTAAATGGCCAGTGTTCTGTTTTCTGTTTTGATTGACAGCAGATGGAGGTGGTCTGGGGGAAAGTACTGGCTCTGTGAAAATACCCCCCTGCTCCATCAGTGGCATGCTCGCTCATCAGCTTTTATCTTTATATTCCAGTAAGTTATTTTGTTCTCAATGTTTTAACAAAGGAACCCAACCACAAAATCCTTGCACACCTTGTTCGATTGGAGAATTTTAATGTTTTTCATTTATCATTGTAAAACCAAGGACAATTTTTTTAACTTTTTTGTCCATAGCTGTTACATGCAGGGCAATCTGTCTTTAAGTAGGGATAAATTACTCTTGAACAAAATGATCCTAGGTAGTTTTTCCTCCAAGTCAAGCATCTTGTTGTTTAAATAAACTTCTTGTTTAAAAAAAAAAGTTGTGGGACAAAGTGGTGGTGGCGCACGCCTTTAATCCTAGGACTCAGAGGTAGAAGCAGGTGGATCTCTGTGAGTTCAAGGTGTAGATGAAGATTGCACATTACTTTCCTGGCCACTCAGACCCACATAATCACACAGAAACTATATTGATTACAACGCTGTTTGGCTGGTGGCTCAAGCATATTTCTAGCTAACTCTTATATCTTAAATTAACCCATTTCTATTAATCTATGTATAGACACCAGGCTGTGGCTTCCCAGGTAAAGTTCTGGGCATCTTTCTCCTTCGGCAGCTACATGGCACCTCTTTGACTCTACTCTCTCTATATATCTCTGTTCAGTTTTTCCACCTGGCTTTGTTCTGCTAAGCCATTGACCAAAACAGCTTTATTCGTTATCCAGTAAAAGCAACACATATACAGGACATCCCACCTCATCTCTCCATAGAGAACGGGCTCCACAATGTCAGTTCATGTCCCACTGCCACACACTGCCCAAGCCCCGACATTCACCTCCCTTCGCAGGTTCTAGTTCAGTCCTGTGCAGGTCCCCCGGTTGTCAGTTCGGAGTCAGTGAGCTCCCATTAGTCCCAGTGATTATTCAGGTCTGGGCAGCCGGGAACTAAACGAGCAGTCTCTGTTTACAGAGAGAGAACTTGCAGCATAGGTGTGTGTGTGTGTGTGTGTGTGTGTGTGTGTGTGTGCTTGGTTCTGCCTCCGTGAGATGACAGGACCGACTTAGTTGACTTCCCAGGGGAGGCCTTACCTTCTCCGAGGAGCGCATGGGGAGGTGGAGTGGGGAAAGGTAGGGAGAGTGGGAGGAGAGGAGGAAGGGGGTACTGAGATTGGTTTGTAAAATAAATAAATAAATTGTAGTAAAAACCAACAAACAATAGCAACACAACGTTACTATGGTTAAGTATTTTATCTTAGCACGCTTTAGTGCTAAGATACAACTTAGATACCAAGTTCCAGACTAGCCTTGGCTGCAGAGTGAGACCGTTTGTTAACAAACAACACAGTAACAACAAACAAAGCAAAACAAAATTACTCTGAATAGGAGAGACAGTCAAAGGCCAGGTGTGTGTGTGTGTGGGCTCCCCGCATGATAAACCTGGGGTGGGGCAGGTGGGCATGAATGGGGAACCCCAGCCTGGCTCATAGACCAATCCATACAGGGGCTGAAGTCCGGAGTGGGGCAGGTGGAGAATCGCTTGGGCTCTGGGGCCCTCCCCGTCCCATTGATCCCAGAGCGTCCCTGACCTTTGTGCCCTGCAACTGGGGGCTGGCACACTGGCCAGGTTGGGCTCCTAGATAGGCGGTATGCTGCGACTGCTTACCTCCAGTTGTGCCCGGGTCCTGGGGTCTGGGGTGGTCACGTGGCGTCCCTCTGTGGGGCTCCTCTCTCCTGGGCGCCCCGGGACCCGCCAGGCTTCAGATGTCTCAGGTGCTCCACATCACCAATCCTCCAGCGCGGAGTCACTGGTGCAGCTGGTGGGCATCTGCTCTATGATGCGCCTGCCCTTGCAGTCGTCCCCCGAAGGGCTGGATGCCGCCTTCATCGGTGTGCCTCTGGACACGGGGACTTCCAACCGGCCCGGGGCAAGGTAAGGCAGGTGCACACGGGCTGGGGACACGTGGTTGGGCCCAGTAGGCAGGAGTGTAGAATGCACGTGGGCTTGCATCTTTTCACCCAGGTCATTTTGGAGTCAGGGAGGGCGGCTCCCTTCTTCCGTAAGCAAGGCCAAGGGCTTAACACAGGATTGGAAGGTCAGTTCTGATATCCAGGGTCATCAGTGGTCAAGAGAGGCTTCTGTGTACTCCTGTAATCCTAAGAAGCCAGGCAGCTCAGAAAGGCCAGTGGGTGCTGTTTAGCAAGCCAAGAGTTTCTAAAACTCCAGCCTTGCTGGGATGGTAGTTGTGCATACCCTAATTCCATCCTAGGGGCCACTGATTTGAGAATGGAATTGGTTGTCTCTTCCCCAAACCCCTAGCTATCAAAGTCAAAGAGACATAAAGACTGTTTTCTTAATTAGCAAGCATCAACAGTTTCTGTTCAGCTCAGTACATCTGACTGTATCCATCTGAATTTTAAAATCGGTCATTTATTAAATGTCAATGAACCCAGGATTCTTTGCAAAGTTGACCTCCTCTAATTCTTTTTTTTTTTTTTTTTTTGGTTTTTTCAAGACAGGGTTTCTCTGTGGCTTTGGAGCCTGTCCTGGAACTAGCTCTGTAGACCAGGCTGGCCTCGAACTCACAGAGATCGCCTGCCTCTGCCTCCCGAGTGCTGGGATTAAAGGCGTGCGCCACCATCGCCCGGCCAGCATCATTATTTTAAAGATCAGGAAAGAGAAACTCAGGTTAATTGTCTAATGCTGTATAATAAATTGGTGGTGGGTGGGCTCTTGAGTCTAGGGATGAAGGGGTGTGGCGGAGTAGCAAAGCTCTCACTCAGCTTTTGAGGTCCCTGGATTGATCCCCAGCAATGAAAAGACAAAACAGGCAAAGAACAAAGTGGAGTGTGCGTCACATGCTGGCCCTTAACATTTTAAAATACTTATTTTTATTTGATGTGTACACATGTTCATGTCTGCGGGAATGTGTATGTACCACATCTCTGCCTGGTGCTAAACAGCCAGAAGGGGACAGTGTTGGGTCCCCCCAGAACTGGAGTTAAGGACAGTTGTGAGTTGCCATGTGGATGCCAGAAACCAAACCCAGGTCTTCTGCAAGAGCAGCCAGGGCTCCTGACTCATGAGTCATCTCAGCAGCTCTTTAAATAACAGTTCATGCACGTGCTCATGTGTGTGCATGCGTGTGGGTGGAGGCTGGAGGACAGCCCACTGAGTCATCTTTGGTGTCACGGTCCACCTTGTTCAAGACAGGGTCTCTCACTGATCCTGAGCTCACTGAGTGGGCTAGACTGGTGGCCAAGCTAGACTGGTAGCCAGGGAGCCCCTTCTGACCCTCTTGTCCTGATCCCCAGTGCTGGGTTTTCAAGTGGGTGCCACCACACCTTGCAGGTATATATGGGTTCTGGGAATCAGACCTGGGTCCTGGGAATCAAACCTGGGTCCTTCCACTTATATGGCAAGTGCTTTCCTGACTGAGCCATCTTTGTACTAAAACAAACAGCTAAATCAGTCTCAAATACTGTGTTACAGTAGAGCAAAACTGATAAACTGAATATGATCAGAAATTCTGTTCGTCTACCATGGTAGACATACATACATACTGGTACTCCCAGCACTCAGGAGGCCGAGGCAGAAGGATTGAGAGTTTGAGGTAATCTTGGGCTACAATGAGTTTTGTGCCAGCTTGGGTAACATAGCAAGACCCTGTCAAACAATGGAGAAAAAAAAAACCCATGCCAAAAAAACCCCCCAAACATACATAGATTAATGGCTGTCAGTGGGGTCTGTTTTATACCCAGTGATGTCTGCTAACATCCAGACATACTTTTACTTGGTGCAGGTTCAGGGAAGAGGTGCTCCTGGTTGCCAGTGGTGACAGACTCTATCCCACAGCACAGCGTCACCTGTCTCAAAAGTCAGGAGACAGAAGCACCTTTTAGGCGTAGCGAGCCGGGGTCAGAGCTCTGCAGCAGCTGACTGTCAATGATTCTTCTTCTCTAGATTTGGACCCCGTCGCATCCGAGAGGAATCGGCGATGCTGGGGGCTGTCAACCCCAGCACGGGAGCCCTCCCTTTCCAGTCCCTCAGGGTTGCAGATCTAGGCAACGTGAACGTCAATCTTTACAACCTCCAGGACAGCTGCCGGCTAATTCGAGAGGTCTATCAGAACGTCGTAGCAGCTGGCTGCATTCCTCTGACCTTGGGTAATGGGTGCTAGCAAGGGACCTATAGCTTTTTCATGGTAGTCTGGGGAGGGTGGTTATTCAATAGAGCCCCTGAGCAGCTGTTCTTCAAGGTAAGCTACTATGAAGACAGACAAAGAAGGAAAGTAAACATTCATTCACTCGTTTTAATCCTAGGGGAGAGGATATTTAATATTTTGGGAGAACTGGCATGAAAGCTAACAGAGTAAGACCCTGTCTCGGGGGGCGGGGGGGGGGGGGGAGACTGGTTAGCTAGGCAAGGCCAGTGGGGCGTTTGCCCCGGGGCATTAGAAAAAACCAACAGCCAAGATCAGTAAAGTAGGATGGTAACCTATCCCTGCTTTTGCTTTGAGCCCCAGTTTGACTAGGAGAATTGGTGTTGGCGTTACAGGTTTTGTTCCTTACATTTATTTAGTGTGTGTCTGTGTACCCACATGATCACAGTATGCACATACAGGTAAGAATCCAACTTTGGGGAGTCTGTTCTCTCCTTTCACTGTGTGGATCCTGGGGATTGAACACAGGTCGTCAGGCTTGGCAGCAGTCGCCTTTACCCACTGAGCCATCTTGCCTGCCCTCCAGAGGATATACCTGAGCTGGTCAGGGTTTGCTTCAATAGGGCAGTGGTCCACTGCTTGACTCTACTTCTTTGGTTCACGAATTGAAACAACATGAGTGGTTTTTTTTTTTTTTTTGTCCCCATTTATTTTTGCCAATTCGGGACAGCCTTGTTACCGGATTTGGCAGCAGTAGGGATGCTAGTGTTTGACATCTCAGCCCAGCTTGCAGCTGCCTCATGGGCTGTGCTGCTAGGTGCTTGGCTTCATCTGTCAACAGGCAGCGTGACAATGCCGATCTCACTGCATTGTGGGTGGGCTGTGCAGTTAGCCAGCTCGTTATTGGGCTTCTTCTATTAGAAACTTCCATAAAAACTATGCTATTGTTCTATCAATACTAATCCTTGCCGTAGGCCTGAACCGCTTGATAGGCTAGCCTATAATTTTAGCTACTCCTGAGACTAAGGCAGGGGGAACTACAGGTTCAAAGCCAGTCTGGACTGCAGAATGAGTTCAAATCTAGCCTGGACAACTTAGTGAGACCAAGTCACAAGATTCAAAATAAATAAATAAACAGCTTAGTGAGACCAAGTCACAAGATTCAAAATAAATAAATAAATAAATAAATAAATAAATAAGACAGTACCAGAGAAGAACACCATTCTTCCATACCTAGATATGTACAAGCAACACTGGATGTATAAACTGATGGCATGGCTGCTACACGTATGATTAAGGGGAAGGGTTTTTATTGTAGATAAGAGAGGACAGCCAGAGCTGACCGCATTGGGAGGGGTCCAGAGCAGAGATAAAATGCGGCCTGCAGAGAAAAGGGGAGGAGGGAATCAGAAAAGAGAGAGAGAGAAAGAGGGAGACCCAGAGAGAAAAACAGAGAGCGTGCGAGAGAGGGAGGGACCGAAGCCAAAGAAATAGCGGGGCTACGAGGAGAATAGGGAGCTGGGTGGAGGGAAGCTAATGAGAGGGAGAGGCCTGTGATGGGGATCAGGTGAGAAGAGCTGAGAAGAGCCGGTTTGCCAGTGCGGAGGCTGAAAAGTGTGACGTGTCTGTGCTACTGAGGGAGTCTGGGGACCAGCACGCGCGTTGGTACACTAATAGGCACCACTGATAGCCATGTGTCCCTTCTGCCAGTGATAAGGAAAATGGCTCCTTTTGGTAGAGGGGAACCAGTTTCACAAGTTCTTGAGGAAGGCTAGCTTTTGCCTAACCTCCAGAATTTGGGGAAGTGGAGTTTCCTTTGGACCTGACACTAAACGTGGTGAGATTAAAAAAAAAAAGAAGAAGAAGAAGAAGACACAAAGAGAGGAGGAGAACATGCTGGAAAGGCAGGTTACAGGGAGAGTGGGACATGAAGACAACCAGACAGTTTCTGTCTGAGTCTGCAGAGATGGCTCTGTGGTTAAAAGCGAATGCTCTTCCAGACGACCTGAGTTCAGTTCCCAGCACCCATGTCAGCCAGCCCTCAAAATTACTTCTTAAAAAAAAGATGAGATTAGTGCAGCGGAGCACTTGCCTAGCACATGTGGGACCCTGAGTTCAATCCCCAGTGCGAAAATTAATGAGTAAGTACTGGGGGCTGGAGAGAGGGCTCAAGAGCACTGGCTGTTCTTGTGGAGGACTCGGATTCAAGTCCCAGCACCCACAAGGCAGCTCACAACTGTCTGTGACTCCAGTCTAAGAGGATCTGACACCCTCTTCTGACTTCTGAGGGCACAAGGCATGAACACGATGCAGAGACATACATGCGCAAGCAAAACAAACACATAAAAAATAAAAATAAATAAATCGTCATTAAAAATTAAAACATTTCAGCCATAGAGATGGCTCAGGGTGTGGAAGTCCTTGCCACGTATGCCTGATGACCTCAATTTGACCCCTGGACCATTATTACTGTAGGAGGGAAGTGACTCTTCCGAGTTGTTCTCTGATCTCCACACACAGGTCATCCGTCATACATAGCACGCACACAAGCACACACACACACACACACACACACACACACACACACACACACACATGCATGCGCACATTAAAGCCCATAGAAACAGGATTTTGACTCCTCGGCTACCATCTCAGACAGTACAGGGATAGGTCATTCACACCGTCACAGGTAGGTCTGCGGGTCAGAGTTGCTTTGTTGAACAACTCATAAGCTTTGATTTATGCGATGTTATGTGTCTGAGTGTGGGTGTGTGCCAGGGAGTACGGGTGTCGGTGAAGGCCAGAGCTGGGGTACCCTGGGGCTGCAGTTCTAGGTCTGTAAGCTGCCTGAGATGAGTGATGAGCATCACGTGCTCTCAACCACGGAGTCATCTTCCAGCTCGTTTCTGCCTTTAAACGGCAGGGGAAGACGGTTTCCTTCTGATGACACCCATGGCCATTTAGCTGTGGATGCAGTTCTACAGCATACCCGAAAGGGTGGCAGTGTTGAGCGACTTCGGGACTGTGGCATGTGTAGATGTGGGCTGTTTTCTCTCTGCAGGTGGAGACCACACAATCACCTATCCCATACTGCAAGCGGTGGCAAAAAAGTAAGTCCCAAGGTTTCAACATTCGGGAGCTAAGATTCAGCGGCTATTAGGTGGCACCATGTGACCGCTCGGGGCTCAGAGGCAGGGGTGACTGGAAATTCCCCACTGGGTTGTTTCTATGGACTAAGGCTGGACTCCACGTGTGTCTGTCAGTCATCAAGCCCTTTCCCTTGACCTAGATCTGCTGTGTACACACACTCTGCATTTTCAGTTGGCCCCTGATGTGGAAAATGAATCCCTAGTGAGATACACAACCCCAGCCACCTTCTGTTTGTTTTGCCTTGCTATCCAAATACAAATATTGACTGGGGTTCTGTTCCCCCCCCCCCCCATAGGCTCCCTCCTTGCTTGGACAACAAAACCTAGATTTTTCGGTAGAGGCAAATCTATGCATATGGTGTGTGGGAGCTTCAGAATTTGTTTGGGGGAAGGCAAGTAGGGTAGCATCCTGACTGGGGTGGGAAGGTGTAACTACATCACCAGCTCCTGGAGATTTCTTATTAAGTATGAAAGCTTGGCCTTAGCTTAGGCTTGTATCAAACTAGTCCTTAAAACTTAAATTAACCTGTTTATATTCATCTACATTCTTCCACATGGCTCGCTATCTCTCCTCAGCACCGTATGTACTTCCTCCACATCTGACTGGTGAATCTCCAGCCTCAGATTCCTTACTAGAGTTCCTATCCCTTCCTGGAAGTCCCGCCTATCCTCTCCGGCCTAAATATTGGCCATTCAGCTCTTTATTAAACAAATCAGAAGGTGCCTTAGGCAGGAGAGGAAGGACAGAAAGAGACACATCTTCACACAGCGTGCAAAAGATTATCCCAATAGGAAGGCACGTGGGTAGTAACATTTTCACTGGGGTGGAAAGGCTTGTGGGTAGCATCCTGACTGGGGTGGGAAGGCTTGTGGGTAGCATCCCGACTGGGGTGGGTGGGGCCAGTCTCATCTCAAGCTGCCCTAGCATCCCACTTGTGTGAACTGTGTTCATTTGGGGTGTCTGGCAGAGCTGATGGAGAGGAACAGAGTCTGAACATCCTGTTGGGGCCTTAGCCGGAGAAAAGGTGGCTCTGGTTCAGCCTTCGCTGAGTTCCATCCTGTGCCATTGTCCTTCTCTCTGAAATTCTGGGTGGCAGGCCAGTCAGTCATATCTGCTTCCACCTGGTTTCCTCAAGGCGCTAAGTGAGCTGAACCCAGGAAAGAGATGCAAGGCAGGTAACTGATGCCAGGACCCTTGACCTCTGAGCTGCTGTTTTGCCATCAGGCATGGCCCTGTGGGTCTAGTGCACGTGGGTGCTCACACCAACACAACTGACAAACCTCTGGGGGAGAAGGTCCATCATCGGTCAGTTTTCCGCCGGAGCGTGGACGAGGGACTGCTGGACTGTAAGCGGGTGGTGCAGATCGGCATCCGGGGCTCTTCCGTGACCTTGGACCCCTACCGATACAGTCGGAGCCAGGTGATGGACTGGGTGTTCTTTCTTTCCCCAAAGTGTCTTCTCCATTGTCAAAGAGGGATTCCACAGTGGCTTGACCCGAGTTCAGGAAGTGGGGCTGGGGCTAGATGTGGCCGCACAGGCCCGTGATCCCCATCTTCAAGGATCAAGAATCCAACATTGTCCTCAGCTCCCCATTGTGTTCCCGGCCTATGCGAGACCTCCTCTAGGGACAGAAACAAATACAGGCTGGCATGACGGCTCATCAGGTAAAGTCGCTTGCCCCTAAGTCTGATGGCCCGAGTTTGAATCCCCGGGCCCCAGACGGTGGAAGGAGAGAAGCAACTCCTGAAGCGCATGCTCTGACCTCCACCCTCCACCCTCACACCAGGACACGGGCAAGCTTGTGTTGCTCCCCCACCCCCAACAAAGATGAGAAAAAGCAAGGAAAGAGGAAAGACTGAGTTGGCATTGAGTCACATGGCAAGAGCCGTGAGACTTGATTTCTGCTTTTGTTTTGATACAGGTCATAGTCTGTATCTTAGGCTGGCCTGCAACTCACGGTGATCCTCCTGCCTCAGCCTCCTGAGCTATTGTGATTACAGATGTGAGCCACTGTGCCTGGCTCAGAGAGACATTGATGAGGCAGAAGTGGCCTGCTGCTGCCCAGCAGAATGAAGTAGGAAGTTAAAACCCCTGGAGGCTGCTGGCTTAGAAGGTTGTGAACCTGAGTCTAGACAAGACACCCCTTCTTAGTGTTTATTCTAACACCCTGCAGACAGAAGGCTTTGGTCTGAACATAGTGCAAGGCTCCCACACAAACACCCCAGTCACACCCTCCCCCCCTCCTGCCTTTTTTTTTTTGAGACAGGATCTCACGGTGTAGCCCTGGTTGTCTTGAAACTCGCTCTGTAGACCAGGCTACCTTTGAATTTACAGAGATCTGCCTGCCTCTGCCTTTGAGCACTAGGTTTACTTTGTAGACCAGGTTGGCCTCGAATGCACAGAGATCTGCCTGCCTCTGCCTCCCAAGTGCTAGAATTAAAGGCACATGTCACCGTGGCCAGGCATTTTACATTACTCTTAATTACATTTATTTAATCGTATGTGTGCGCATGAGTGCCACGGCGGGAGTGCGGAGGTCAGAGGACAAATTGTGGAGTGGGTTCCCTTCTGTTGTGTGGGTCTTGGGGTTTGAGTTCAGGTTATTAGACTTGGTAGCAAGGGCTTTTACCTGAGCTGAGCTGTCTCAACTGTCTAATCCCTTGATTTTAGGGTGTGTCAAGACCAAGGTTCTGGACACAAGCATCTAGAACAGTGATTCTCAATCTGTGGATCGTGACTCCTTTCAAACAACCTTTTCACAGCGGTCACCTATCAGATATTTACATTACAATTCATAACAGAAGCAAAATCACAGTTATGAAGTAGCAATGAAAAAAGTTATGGTTGAGGGTCACCACTACATGAGGAACTGTATTAAAGGTCACAGGAAGGTTGAGAACCACTGCCCTAGAGTCTTTAGTGACCAAGTGTCTCAGGCTTGGTTTTAGCGAAGCTCTTTCCTGATTCTGACACTCAGGTCAGCTCTGACCTGGCTCCCTAACTTCATCAGTAGAGCGAGGACCATGGTTCCCCTCCTAGAAATTGAGGTCAGGTGTGATATATGCGTGTGAGAAGCTGAGCATGGGGTCAGCTGGGATATCCAGCTCTTTGGCTCGCCCCTCCTCAGGGCTTTCGTGTGGTCCTGGCTGAAGACTGCTGGATGAAGTCATTGGTTCCCCTGATGGCAGAGATCAGGCAACAGATGTCGGACAAGCCTCTTTATATCAGCTTTGGCATAGATGCCTTGGATCCTGCCTATGCCCCGGGAACAGGGACACCGGAAATTGCTGGGCTCACCCCTAGTCAGGTAAGTGGGTTTGCTCAGTGGATTCCCAGGGTGGGTATTCTTTTTATGTATATGCCTGTCCCCTTGTCCATGCCTCTGTGTGCGTGTGTGTGCGTGTGTGTGTGTGTGTGTGTGTGTGTGTAGATTCCCAGGGGTCAGAAAGAACATTAGATCCTCCTCGAGCTGGATTTACAGGTAGTTGTAAGCCATCTAATGTTGGTGCTGGATACCAAACTTGGATTCTCTGCAAAGCAACAGCACTCTTAACCACTGGAGCCACCCTCCCAGCCCTAGAGGGTGTGTTTTATTTTTTTAACTTTTTAGTGATTCTTTGTCAGTTTCACACCATGTACCCCAACCCCACTCCTCTCATCTCCCTGTCATCACATCTGCCCTCTGCCCTTACAACCCCTCCTGCCACCAAAAGTCTCATGGAAGCTGCAATGTGTCCCAGTGAGTCACACAGCACATCCTTTAGCCCACGCATCTTAACTCGCAAATGTTCACTGCGATGAATCACTGGTCTGGGTCGAGCCCTCCGGCTCCTGCTACACTGTCAATACTGGACCGTCTCTGGCACTCCTCTTGGATGATCCCATCGCTGTCCTGTGTTGCAGAGGTCCTGCAGCTTCGGATCTGCAGGACCAGCCCCTTGATGTGCTCCTGCAGTTCATAGATGTTGGGGCAGGCCAACTCACAGCCCTGGATTGGGACCTGGGTGGTAGCTGAGCTTGTCAGCCTGCCTGCTCTCCTGCATCCTCACCACCTGGGCAAGCTCTCCAGCATTGCTCCGGCTAGCTCACCCAAGGCTGCGGGGTTCAGTCTTGCCTTGAATTATATAGCCCAGGCTTGCCTCTAACTTGACTTCTGACTGCTGGATTAAGGGCTCACACCACTAGGGCAGGATTTTAAAGACACAGCACCTGGATGCGTACAACCTATGGCCTAGAGGCAGAATGCCCAATTTGGCTGAGGATAGCTGTGAACAGTGCCCAACACAAAATTGTAAATTTACTTAAAACATTAAGAATTAAAAAACCAAAACTGGACTGTATGGTTCTTGAGCATGAAATCTGTGGACTATAACCTCATTTCACAGATTATGAGGTTGGCAGGCCCGAGTATGTTCTCAGGGCTGGCTGTAGTTTTGGGTACTCAGTGGACAGACACTGCTTGTCTGTGACTTTCAAATTTCTTGTTTTGTAGCTAGGGACTAAACCCAGGCCTCACCCATGCTAAGCAAGTGCTCTACCCCTGAGCTATGGGACCATCCTGAGAGCTCTGAGAAGCCTTTATTATTCTTTCTGCCTCTAGTTTGTCTATAGTCAATTCATGGGGATCATTTTGCAGTGTCCCCTCTTAAGAACACTGAACTTTGGGGCTGGCAGCGTAGCTGTAGCTCGGTAGCAGCACACAGGCTTAGTGCAAACAAAGGTCTATATGCTATTCCAAGCTCCAAGACAAAACACAACGCGCCAAGCTGCTTGTGGCTAAATTAATCAAGTATGCACATGGAGACCGGCTCCAGGTGGCTGGGACATGTTGGAGTCAAGCCTGATGAGCTACGCTGAGATCGACAAGGGAGGGAACAGGACCTTTCCGTTGTTCGTTACCCCGTTCTTGGAGCCAAGGATATGAACGGCAGGTTGTTCAAGGTGTAACTGAATTGCATGCATCTGCATCTTCTAAGAAAGGAGGATGCTCACAATGGCATCGCCCACAGCCATTCCCTGTCCGGTCAGAAGCATTTCTGGAGCTTTTTGAGCTCAGGATGGAAACTTTAGAGAAGGCAACTGCCTTTGCACCGGTTCCTAATGCTACCTTGGGCAATATCCATCTGCTTGTGCCTTAGCCTGTGTCTCTGCCCAGAATGCTTAGTCATCTCTTCTGCCAGTCCCTTGAAGCATCTGTACCACGGGAAGCCTTCCCCAACTCAGACTGTCTCCTGTAGGCTGCTTGTCTCAAGGGTTTGGAAACGTGACTTTGCCTGGCTTGTTTGACTCCACCACCATCACACCAGGAGGCCCTTGAGAGGGACTGTGTGTGTTGTGAGCTGTGCCCCGGGAGGCCCACCAGCGTGGCTGTAGTGAGCTCGTGTCTCGGGCAGGGGAGGATTATCTATCTATGCCACCGTTGGTTGCTTTGCATTGGCGATGACTGTCACTTCCACCGTGGACAGGCCTTGGAGATCATCCGGGGCTGTCAAGGCCTGAACGTGGTGGGCTGCGATCTTGTGGAAGTCTCCCCACCGTATGACCTCTCAGGTGAGTGCTGAGACAAGCATGATCTAAGGTCAGATTCATCTGGTGAGTTAGGCCTCCAGGTTTACCTCAGGGACCCTACGGAGAATCAGTGTCCAGAGGCAAATGTAAGGAGCGTGAGCTAATGAACCAAACAAAACCCCTGGGAGGTACCAGGTGGTGTTAGTGGAGAGGAAGCCAACAGTTTGCTGTTTAGTGACAGGGTGGCTCGGTCACATCTCCCTTTGATATTTCCCTGAGAAGTGAATTTGCAAAGCATGTTTTACCGGAAGTAGAGTTGCTACAGCTGACACCTGGGCAAAGCAGGCGTCATCCCTCTAATTCTAACTGAAACAAAAACAAAGCAAGCTTCCAGTCAGACCTACTGGCCCGAGGGTGGGCTATGAGCAGCACCTGCCCCAGTATAGACATCCCTCAGAATTCTCATACTGGCTCCATCTTGGCGGGTGGGGGGGGGGAGGCCTGTTCACAGGCACCCAGCACCCAGAAGCCATGGCTCAGAAGCAGGCTAAGGTCCGGGAGACTGGGCTTCAGGGTGGCAAGCAGTCTCCAGAGCTTTTCTTCTTCCTTCCTAGGCAACACGGCCCTCCTAGCAGCTAACCTACTGTTCGAGATGCTGTGTGCTCTCCCCAAAGTGACGACTGTCTGAGTCTGTGTCACGACAAAGCCTCAAGGACTTGCGAGCAGTGCACGGACTAAAGGACGTTTTCTGTGACGTGTCACTGGCCACAAATAAGGACAATTCAGAAGGTCAACCCAAACAGCCTGTGTTTCTTTCCGTTTTAACTCAAAACATTTATTTAACTTTGAGTGTGCCTGAGTGTATGTATACCACATGTGTGCAGGGGCCTGAGAAGTTCAGAAGAGGGTGTAGGATCCTTTGGAACTGGAGTTACAGGCAGCTGTGAGCCACTAGTGGGTGCTGGGAACTGAACCCAAGTCCTCTGCAATGTAAGCACTCTCAAGCGATGAGCCTTCCACCCTTAGTTTTCTTCCCAAGCCATCCCCAAGCCTGCTGTCCTCGATGAAATCATCTTGCAATTCCAGAGGTGCCCCAGAGCCATCACACATCAAAATAGTTTATTTGTTTCCAATCTGTAATATTCTTAAAACAAAATAACATTAGCTTTAGTGCCTGTTCACAATACAAAAACAAAACCCAAAAACAAACAAAACTGAAAAATAAAAACGTAAACATAAAAAGACATGATTTGCCAAATAAGTTATTTGTTCTTAATAGTATCAAAGTGCAAAACATTCCCCTTCCTCTCAGGCCTCTCCCAGGTGCAGCCATCTTTCCTAGCAGACACCATGGCAGAGTCGGCACTGCCTTGTTGCCTGCTTCCAAGCGTGAAGCCAGACGCGCGGACACAAACCGCATCTCACCTCCATCCTCTCCTTACTCCGCTGTTTGCTTGTCTACTTACTTTGTGGTGCTCAGGGCCTCGGGTGCACTACAGAAGCCTTCTAGCCTGTGTCACACCCCACCCTACCACCACTTGTTTGCTGGGACAGGATCTCAGCTCAAGCTGGTTTTACCTGTTTGTGCTAAGGATGACCCTGAGCTCTGGATCCTCCTGCCTCTGCTTCCTGAGTGCTGGGGTTGTAGGTGTGTGCCACCACACCTGGCTCCTTGCAACAATATTTAAGGGATTCTGCCTGACTTTCCTCCCTCATCACTGGGAATCAGAACCAAAGGGCTCACATGCGCTAGGCAAACGCTTTCTCACTGAACTCCAGCCCCAATATGGAATTCCACTTTGAAAACAAAACAGAGCTGAGTGCTTGCTTCCAATCCCTAGCCCAAGCGAAGCAAGTGAGTCAGACCTATTTTATTTTATTTTAACGCCAGGGAAACATGGTGATGGCTGCAAATGACTTAGCACTACATAAAAGGCTGTGAACGAGGAGACTCACCCATCTGAAAACAAGCAAATTCTTTAGAGTGGACAAATGGCAGCTGTCCCTGAGTGGCAGGAAGTCTTCCACAGAGACTGACTAAGGAGGCTGCTATGCCCCATCTACTGAACATGATTTGCAGGCGGTCTCGGGCAGACGCCCACCTCCTCAAACAGCAATGTCTCACCGAAATTGGGTCCTGTGATACGACATTCATTAGGACAAGAAACCTTGGCATTCGACTGAGCATAAAAGTAGCTCGTATTTGACACAAAAATAAACAATTAATGGAAACAACATTCAGGAAGGAAGGCTTGGATCTGCCACGGTAGACTTGTGCTGCATGCCTGTAACCCCAGGACTTGGGAGGCTGAGGCAGGAAGACCTTGAGTTGGAAGCCAGCCTGGACTACATAGTGAGACCCTGTCTCAAAACAAGCAAGCAATCAAACCAAAGCTCCATGACACCCTTGGTGACACCACCCCTGTCAGATCTGCAGGCATTCTGGACTCAAATTTGCTGGGAACACCCCCAATGGCAGGGACCTTTATCTTCTTGGTACAGTTTTGAAAAAGAACAAATATCTGGGGAGTTTTTTGGCTTTCAGAAATTACACATCAAGGAATTTTATCAGTTCCAGAAATATAAAGACAAAAATCTATGAATGAGTTACAACATACTCACGAGAGGAGCCCCACCGTAAAAATAAAGGAAAAAAAAAAAAACAGAACAAAAGCAAAAAATAAATCCAAACCAAACACGTTTGTGTAGGTGATACTAGGGATGGAACTCAGGCCTTGCACACGCTAGGCACGTGTTCTACCCCAGCTCACCCCCAGTCTCCAGAAACGCAGTCTGAGGACTGGGCACTGAGGAGCCAAGTGATTCCTTCAGGCTTTCTAGCTGGGCCAAGTGCACGAGAAGCAGCATTGAGTCAGCGTGTACTTCTAGAGGGCCAGATGGAAGAATGAAGCCTGGCAGTGATTTCTTTATTTTTTAATAAAGCTAAAGATTCTTTGAAAACTACAGAGGGGTCCTGGGCTCAGAGAGTTCATCACTTACCACTGGAGCTCAGTGTTTAAAGTAATCAGGATCCGAGGTGCTTGGTTCAAAGCAAATATGATTAGAGAATACTAACTGAGTGAATGTCCTGTCCCTGATCTGTGCCCTTCACTTTGCAAAAGGGCACTTGCTTGTCAGTAGAACACCACGTGTGGCCGTGGTCTGGCCCTAAACACAGAGGGCATGTTGAATGGGCGAACATGATCCGGCCCTGAGCCTGAGGTGCGTGGAGCCAGGCAAGCTGGATTTGATGGATCTGATCTGGCAGCAGGAAGCAGCAATAAGGGAAGGAGGAAACGATTAAGCCGAGACGCCAAAATGCAGGCCAGAAGTAGGAAGCTAGCTGCCTGCCAGACAGGAATCTGGAACAAGTCTCAGCTCACAGTCACAGAGACAACTTGAAAATTCAGCACTTTGGGGACAACAATGTTCAAAATGCAATTGTCAGAGAGGTCAGGTTCCTTGGTACGAAGACACGCCCGGCATTTCATTCGAGAGCCAGTCAGGCAGGAAGGCTCCTGCACCTGGCTCTTGGCGTCATCTTAAATCTATTGGCTCTATAGCAGCTTATCTACGCTCAGAGAATAAGACCACAGGTTATGGCTCCTAGTATCCAAACTCTAAAATCCACAGAGGCAGAAAGGCATCTGGAGACAGGTCAGTGGCTCAGTCATTACAGTGCTTCTGGCTAGGCAGACTCTGTCCTGGCTATGATGGGGCTTACATGGGAGTGTAGAGAGGGGACAGAGATGAGGAACAAAGGATGCTCACGAAGGACCACAGGGCTATGCGACTCCAGTCAGTGTTCAACCCTCCCTTCTCTTGGTGGGGAAGAACAAATGGAAATGTTACACCCCCATCCACTGCTCAGCCCTTTCCTTTCAAAGTTTGACTGGCCAACTGTTGTGGGGAATACCCCCAAAATATACTTCTCAATGCTTGCTCCCAGAAGACGGTCACATGTAAAATTGCTTAGAACTAGGCCTCTTTTGAAGATGCACCTAGAAACTGTGGTGGCCTGTCGCCTTGGCAGAAGCATGGCAGGGGCCAAATTAGGAGCCTACAGGGGAGGGGGTTGGGGGGTATAGTGACCCACCCTGCATGACAGGTTCTTGAGGATCCTGAGGTTTGTTCAGGCATGACTCAAGGTCAAGCCCTGGGTTTCTCCAACCTAAAGACAGGGTGGTGTGAGCATGTTACAGGGACAGCAAAGAAGAGGGGTGAGTGGTCTATTAAATAGTACGGCATTCATACGGGAGGAGAAAACCCAAAGGAAAGAGTGTCATCTAGGGATCAAACCTGCGACGTGTTTTACTCCTAGGTGACAAAGAAAAGGTCTTCTAGCCTTCGCTCAAGAAGAGAAATCTAAAACCTAGACTCCCCTGAAAATCCCTGTTCCTGGGGCACGTTAAAAACCTGAAGAGTCCATGTCTCAGTCTAGCTCAGGCCACGATGGGATGTAAAACCTTTGCAAGGAACCTTCCATCAGGCGCTCCATCCACAAGGACAACTTGCTTAGCTTGCCCTTGAGGGGCTTGGGCCCGAGGCCACAGGGGGGTTTCCCTCTGGAGGAGTCAGGGTCGCAAGAGCCCACAGTCTCCTCGTCCACTGTCTTTAGGGGCTTGAAAAGGCAGAAATACTTCTTGTGGCCATTCAGGGCCAGCACGTAGCCAGTGTAGTCCCGCTCCATGAAGTGCTTGTCATACTGGTTTGGGATTGGGGCTGCGTCCTGAGCAAACTCCAGCAAGTACTCCAGCCACTCGCGGTGTTTGTCCAGACAGAGGAAGGAGAAGTGGAGGCTGCTGCTCCTGTGGAGAGAGACCGGGGTTCAGGAAGGGAGCTAGCTGCAGGCTACTGGGGGGGAGGTGTGTT